TTACATGAATCTGGTCTTTTCATTTGTCCTCGTGTGTAAAAATAATAATAAAATTCACAATATATTTTTTTAGTTTTATGTCACCTCCACTGGCCATGAAGGTTCCTGAAAAGGCCTCAAAAAGGCCAACGGACCAGCAGTTGATAATCACAGGTGTAGCTTGTTTTGCGGCTCTGGACACATTTTATAAGTGAGCCACGGAGCAGAAATGGTTCCTTTGATCATAAAGGTTGCAGACCCCTGATCTAAGCAAACAGCTCTCTTCTGTCTTTCTAATGCTGCTCTTGTAATGAGTCATATTCTTCACCCCCAGTGGTGCCTGTTAACGTTAGCTGCACAAGATCAGAGTTTACCATTCTGATACCCCAGCAGTCCTTACCTCAGCTAGACAAGGATAGCATCTACCTGGGAAACCCCACCTGCACGGCACAGCTAACATCCACCTCCTATAAAATACTTGCTCAGTTTGTCAACTGTGGCACCGCAAGCCAGGTAACCAGCTCTCTTTACTTGTTCCATCATTGTTCCAGTTCTTCTCCCTCAAACTGTTCATACGGGTTGCTTGTAGAATTACAGAAACATCACCATGCTTGTCAACAAGCTCTACATCGATTTCTCTGATGGGAAGCAGCAGAACGTGCAGGAATACAAGGTGCAGTGCGACGCCTTGCGGAAGATAGCCTCGGTGTCGATCGTTTCCGCGGAGGAGCGTCGCCTGGAGGAGCAGGCCCAGCAGACGGACCATGACAGCAGTGGCTTTGCAGCTGACCCAGAAACTAAGCCTCATGACCTGAGTGACATCGTCTTCATCAGCATCTGTGTTCTGGCTGTCATTCTCATGATCATCGCTATAGTCTGGCTAGTGCTTCTTTAGTGACCAACATTAGATTCATTGTATAGAAACATTTTTTGCCACATTTGGATTATTTTACTTTCCAACTCACATCAGTATCACCAAATTAAACTATTAATTGCTGCATATAAAACACATAATTACTACATAATTAATCTTAATATTAACAAGATCTTTTTTAACTGTCATTTTGATGTAATATGAACTTCTATATGTGCCATCATTTCTACTTAAACATCATTAGAACGTCTATTTATGAGTGTGGTTGACTCCACTGTTACACAGTGCACAAGCAAGCTAGTAAAGTTCTATATATATAGTCATTTTTTTATTGCAAATATTTTTTGTTCAACAAAAAAAAGCTTGAACTCTGATCCATTACAAACTGGGGAGGTGAGGTTCAGAAGGTTAAAATGGATGTATACGAGCAAATGTTGAGCAGTTGAGCAAATACACAGGTCCAGAAATATAATATAACAGCATTTAATGTTACTGTTGCGTGGAGGTTAACTATTTCATAAATAAAGGCCTGTATTTGAACATAAATGTGAATAAGGATTAGGAGTATGACCTGCTGAATATTCCTGCAGTGCAGAAGGCTTTGATTAGGTGATAAAAACTGAACTTTAAAACCATTATAAAAAAAATTTAAACTTATTTATCAAAGAGTGGACTTTAATAATTAAGTTCTTATTCTTTACATCAGAACGTAATAAATTTAAATGATAGGAAAACAGTTTTTTTTTCCTTTAAAACCACTGTTTTATTAAAAAAATAATAAAAAATAGGTGGTATAAAAGTGTAAAGCTGCTGTTGTGCCTCAAATTGTAAAATGTTTATTTTTTTCTCTTGTCTCTACCAAAGGCAAAAAATGAAGTGATAACAATAAAAATATATATTAAAAAAATGTGAATGCATTAAAAACTATGCAGTTTGAGGGTTCAATTTGTTTTGCATTCTTGAGTTATTTTTTGTATTTAGAAACCAGTTCAGGGACTGACATTTTACTGTCCTTCATTTGAATTCTGATGTCAGGGTTGTGTTTGAAGGCAAACACCAACGCTCTAACAGTCCGTCTGTATGAACCGCTAACCAGCCGGCGGCTCTGGTGAAAAACCTCTCGCTCGATGTTGTCTATGAGACCAGAATCCTCCTGTAAGTCAAACACAAAAGGGGGGGAAAAAGGCATATGGTGATCAAATTATTATAAAATAAACAAGAAAACATTTGCAAGCATTAAGAAAGTGGATTTAAAATAATTTGGGTGGATGTAAATCTAGCAACTATAATTTACTATACGTCAGTTTTGCTAAACAAGTTCAATTTGGAGAGCTAACTTCTAATAAAAATTTAAAAAATATTCTTGAATGCTGTTTTATAGATAAAGCAAAAAACATTTTGATGTTTTTGTTAGCTTCACAAATTATTTTATTGGAGCCTATGATTCATATTCCTTTGTAGAATGTAAATAAAAAACAATCATGAGTACACCGCAAAGACTTGATGTTTCAATAAACTTAGCTAAAAAAAAAATCTCTTTTCACCTTGACCTCCAGTGCATTAGACAGCAGTCTTCGTGCGTTGCTCCTGAGTTCTTCAGATTGCTTGTCGGAGCGTACTTCAATTGATGGTTTGTTGGAATTCTCCTCAATAAAACTCCTCCAATCGGTGTAAACCTTTGCTGCCATCGAACTCACCTCGGGATCCAGATGTTTTCGCATTTTGTTGACAGTGTGACCTGAAACGAAGAGTTTTTAATGCATGCTTAAAAAATTTTAATATCATTTGACTCGTTATTAGTCTGATCACTAGTTTGTCATATTTTAGTTAGATTGTTGTTTACACTTTTGTAGTTACGATGGATGAATGGATGTTGTGTTTTTAAGTATTATTTGAAATATGTAATAAGATGATCAGAGCATGCATCCATTTAAACTGTGTGGCTTCATCAAATACAGCATAGAGCAGACGACTTGCCTATTTTAGTGGACTTCAGCACCTCTCTGGATGGGATCTTTTTGCTCAGCTCTGTCAGGGCACTCAGCAGGTTGTCTTTGCTCTGTTCTGGCAGCTCCAGCATTGACTTGTAGCGCAAGATGTCCTCAATCACAACCACCCTCTTAAGAAACACATGAATGAGCTACTTTTTCAGGCAGAATTCTCTTTACTCACTGCTCAATTTAAAATAAAATAAAAACTTACCCGTAAGGATTCGATGGTAGTTTGCCTGTAAACCTTCTCTTCGCTTTTTGATTGTTTGAATGTTTCGCCCTTTGGTAGCTGCACTATAAATTTGTCCATTTTCAAACACTGAAACTAATAATAGCTAATAATAATAGCTTCTGTCTAGTATGCTAACTGCTAATCTCTGCTAGCAGATACCTGGTTAAACATTACCTCGCCTGCGCCACGTTAAAAAAATCAACATATTTCTAGTTCAGATCCGCTCGTTTTTAAACTCTACGCTTACATGCTTGAATGTAATAATATATAATATATAATATATAATATAATATACATTCAGTGCACAGTTACGATTAAAGCTCCGAGGATGCCAACCGGAAGTTGGACAACAACATGACGGTGCTGCCTTCTTCTTCTTTTCTATTATGGCGAATCGCATGCCAATTTAAGGTGCACAGCGCCACCTACTGTACTCGAGTGTAGCAACACTACTTTACATCACTTAAATCCAATTTTTTAGTTTTGTATCATAGAGATAGCTAAATAATGCTTTCCTTAATCTGTAAATATCCACTATGTTTCCTTCAGTTCCCAAAATACCCTTTAAACTCCATTCCTGTCCTGTCCTCCTCGTTGTACTTCTCAATCTCTCCCTTTTAGGCTCACATGTTTTACAATACATCAACACGTGTTCAACGTTTTCTTTTTCTCCACATCCTTCACATTTATCATTATCTGTCCTCCCAATTATATATAAAATATAATTTAAGTATGACCTACTCTTAATCTCATCATTATTATTTCTTCTCTTCTGTTTCTCTCACTAATATTTTAAACAAACACTGAATTTTGTATTTTATGTAAACTACTTCCTGTTTTATCTTCATTCCACCTTTTTTGCCACATTTCTATTTCTTTACTCTTAATTGCTGATTTCCCTTCTCCTTTCCCAAAAGGAATTCTAATTGTTATTGCCCCCTCTAAAGCCCTTTTTGCTTATTTGTCTGCCTTTTAATTGCCTTTTACTCCTTCATGTACTGGTACCCAACCCAAATATCTATGCCACCCCTGTGTAACCTAAATAAACTGTGTTGAATTTCTAATACTTCTAATACTAAATATTTCCTATTGTTTCCTTTTCCCTTTGGAGTCTGTGCACACAACCCTGTCTGGTCGAACCCCCTCTACTCATTGCAAACTAAGTATGACTGCCACCATTTCAGCTGTAAATACAGATAGTTGATCTGATAGACGTTTAGAAATATATATTTTAAACTCTTGAATAAATATTCATATTCCCACATATCCTTTTGTGTTTTTAGAACCATCAGAATAATAATTATAATAATCAATATTAATATTTGATAATAATTGATAATTGCTATATGAGTTTCTTAGGTAAATGTCTGTTTTTACCCATATTTCATTTAAATTCCAATCGTTTTTAATTTAAAAAGTCTCATGTCTACATTTACCTCAGGAAATAGCCATGGAGGAATAGCACTAATTGTGCCATTTCCTTATCCTCTAATCCATACATTTTAACCCATTTTTCCTTCAAAAACCATTAATTTGGAATTTAGAGTATTCTCAATAGTTTTGTAAAATTGTTGAAGTTGCCTTATTTTCCTTACCCAGTATACTAATGATCATTTTATTCCTCTAATTTCCAGTGGAGTTTCACCTGCCTCTATTAATATAGCATGAATGGGTGTGGTTTTCACTGCTCCTGGACGGTGCTGCCTTCGTGTATACGCTGGGAAGAACTAGTGTTCGTTCCATCGTAGTAAGTTTATTGTGTGACAGAAATTAACAAAATAATAGCGTTGTACATCCTTTGTATTTTAGAACAGTACTATAAAGAATTTCTAAACACCTTAGTGTTCTGGTGTAAATGTGTCCTATTTATTCTCACAGTAAAAAAAATATATTTTTTCAAATCATTTGTAAGGATGCAATTCCTGCGCTGTTGAATGAATCACTTTTTAAGACTATCATATTTTATTTTAGGTTATCCTTTCTATGGGGCTTTTGGATAGCTTAAACAGGTGTAAAGGTGTGATCAACAGAAGTAAATTAATCTGACAAAAGTAGCATTGCATATTTATACTAGATACTACCTTTTTTTACAAATGGCTTTGCTGAAATTCTTGTGGTTTATTTAGTTATCCATTCTATTTATGCATATTGCCTACTTTATATTATTCTCAGTCAATATTTCTCAAAAACAATAGTCATCACAATCATGCTTGAAAGTACTGTTTAAATTTTTATTGGTGTTTTAAGGTCTTGTAAGGTTTTCTTTTTTTATTACATGTAAGTCAAAAGTTTATTTTTACTGTGTGGTTTTAACACATCTTTATTGTGACTTTGGACAAATCCTTTTCATGCTGTTTTACATAATGACAGGCAACAAATTTTACATATTGAGGAAGACAGATTTTACATACTGTGAAAACCAAATTTCAGGTGAAAGTTGGATTTCATCAGACCTGTGATTGTCACTGTATGCACAGAAACTGAAGCAACTCTTTTGTATACCAACTTTGATTTTAAAAAAATCCAATTGCGCAGTTTTAAAGCCGTTAGTATTCTTAGAAAAACAAAAGACCCAGCAATTGTCAGGTAAGTCTCTTTTTCTAAATAAGTTTCTATATCCTTTTGTTTTGTTTTGTTTTTTTGTGAAAAATATTAAAAAATGTGAAGTCTATTCTCAAAAGATGTACTCTTTTGATAAAATAATTAATTTTCTTATTTACAAGAACAAGTTTTATTGTAATTTGCATTTAATTCAAGCTAAAGCAAATGTAAAGAAAATGCGCAATGAGATGCCACAGTTGTTGCAAAGTGTGGCAGAACTAAAATTTACCAGTAAAAATGACACGTCAAAGCTTGAAATTTAATTCAATGATGTTCTAGAGGACAGCTACACAGTCCTAGATGTAAGCAACAAACAGGTAATTGGAATACAAATGAAATTGGGATGTACATGACTTTTGCAGGCTCTTTTCAGGACTTTTGTTGGACATTTTCAGGACAATAAAAATAGCCATGGAAAGCTTCATAAAGTTATTTCTTCTTACAGGTCAGTGTTTCTCCAAACACACATTAAGTCTTCTCAGTTTTGTTGGATTGGTCTTTTCTAATGCAGATTAAAAAATCACATTCTGGTAACATTTACAACTCATTTCTTTTTGTTTATTTCCCTTCTCTGTAGGAGCATGTTCTCTGTTTCTGTGTGTGTGTCCGTATCAATACAGATTATTTCAAAGCCCAAAAACCTGGGCCGACGCTCAGAGCTACTGCAGAGAGAAATGTGTTGACCTGGCCACCATGGAGGACCTGGACGAGATGAATATAGCTCTTAAAACTGTGGGAGATAACTACACCGATGCTGTATGGATTGGGTTGTGGAGAGGCAGAACCTGGAAGTGGTACTGGTCTCTGGCATACAACAATTTATACAAGGAGGGAGAAAGAAACTATATGATATTAAAATCTTCAGGTGGTGATAACTGTGCAGTTTACAGAAATGGGCTAGTTCAAAGCGCTTGTACGTACAAGATCCCTTTTGTCTGCTTTGACAGTGAGTCATTCTTTTTTGTTTGTTCTTATATACAAATAACCCAAATCTGAATACCCACAGCTAAAGTTTTACAAACCAACAACTAAGGCTCAAATGAAAGCCATTATTACTTATCTTTGATAAACAAAACAAAAAAAATAAAAATATATGATAATGGAAGTTTCTTTATTAGAAGAGTTAAAAAAATACATATTATTGTTATTAATTTTTTTAATTTTTATTATTCTTGTTTAGGAACAAGACAAGGAGCAGATCAGTACATCCTCTCGAATGAGCAACTGGCTTGGACTGAAGCTCGGGACGTCTGCAGAACAAACTTCACAGACCTGGTCAGTTTAAGGAACGATGCAGAACATCAGATGGTCCAGGAATTAACCAGTGGACAGACAGTGTATCTGGGTCTCTTTAAAGACCCCTGGGTGTGGTCAGACATGAGTGACTCCTCACTGAGGTACTGGAAGAAAAGCCAACCAGTCAACGTTGGAGGTACTGACAACTGTGTTGCAATGTTGAAGATGGAATCTGGTCGATGGGGAAACAGGAACTGCAACGAAACACACCCATTCCTCTGCAAATGCAGTGAGTAAAGATTTTAGCCAGTTCAACCTTTACGTTCATCATGAAATGATGATTCACTTACAGACAAAACAATGTTTTTCTTGGTTGTTTTTGTTTGTTTTTTCGTCACGATAGAAACCAAGCAGTTCATCAAACTGAGGATCAGCACACAAGCCCCAATGTTGGCTCTAAATGACCCTGCAGTGCAAAACAGCATCCTGGAGCAGGTGGGTTTTTACAGTTTTCCTCAGATTAAGTTGGGTTACACTTAAAGAATTATTGCAAGAATGTAAACTCATTGTTCATATTGAATTGCATAAAATACTTCAATGTTAAAAAGAAAATCTAACCTATATTTTGTGAAAACATGAGCAATTTCTTCTTTGCAGATAAGGTTCAAGCTGAATCAGACCGGAGCTGATGCCGTCCAGCTGCTCTGGAGAAGCACTTCTGATGGAAAAGTTTTCATCAAGGACTCTGTTGGAAATAGACCATAGGAAGAAAATATGATGATTTGAGCACCAGCTAAATGTAAACATTTAATTATTAGAGAGTATATTTTGTATAAAAGAATAGACTTCAAAACATAGATAGTGATGTTTTTGTTCAACAGAATGCATGAATAAATTCTGAATTAAATGTGTTTTGTGATGCTAGAATAATGTAATTTTACTCACTGCTCGATATTTAGGAATCTACAATTATAGACCTAATATACAGTATATGCTTTAAAAGCACTCTTTATGCACTGTTATTGTGTAATTATTGTTTTGCTGTTTGTTTTGTGTGCAGCACTTTGTACAGCAATTGTCATTAAATGTTCTATTCAAATAAATGTGATTTGATTTGGTCTGCGTGTGGTTTTATATATATA